AGTACTTTTTCATAGCACGGAATATAGTCTTGTCTGTATAACAACCAATTTGTGGATCTCCAGCTGCAAGAAAGAGTGAACATTTCCTTTAAAAAATGACCCATACAAACTATGTATTGATACATAGGAATATAATGTATCAGATCTAAAATTACAACATAAACCATTCATGTGTTCATCAAGTTTTCTTTATTAAAAAAACTGTTCAAACAACTCCGATCTTGATTGACTAGGGTTGTCAGTTTTCTTGCCGAAGGTCGGTGGATCTCTCCGGGCACTCCTGCTTCCTCCACCATTAAAAAACTGACCGTCAAAATATAGCCAAGAGTTAAAGTGGCGTTAAAAACGCTAAAAATCAAAGAATCAATCAAACAATTGCAATATACTGAAATAAAAATTAATTGGAAACAACTAGAAATAGTTGGCTTTACCTGAGATCTATGTCAGTCCAGTCTGATCATTTGTTGATTATCGAGTTTATTGAAATACTTTATGATTAAATAAAAAATAAACTTGTTAGAAATTGGTAAATACGCAGAGATCTACAATACTACACGTCACGAAACAGACAATTATATATACCTTCTTCCTTGTCCATTCACAACATAAAAGTGCATTTCGCTTATTAAGGTAGATAGGGTGTCTTCCTCCATCTTTGATTTTGAAATACCAGAAAACAATCGGTCTAGATCTTTAATAAAGGTGCAAATTTTGAGAGTAGTAGGTAATTCATGTGTAAGAATTTTCATTTCAATATAGAAAATGACCTATTTTATCATATTTATGGTTGTATTTTACAAAAAAACAGAATACTTTTGTTTGATTCTATATTTCCCACTTTGCCACATAAGGGGAGGCAACTCAAATGTAAGGGCAGATAATTCAGATAAAGTTACTTTTACAATAGAATGTGTTAGGAATTTACCTATTTTATTATGTAGCAAGAAAACGGGTCCCGTGACACCATTTTTTCTTTTTCTTATCTGAAAGCATACTATTAGAGCTATCTTCTCATAATTTATCTCAAAATTCTATGGTGTAGTTTTCGTTTTATGGCAGAAAATTTGGTTTTCCATGCATAATCTACACAAAATCTGTCAATTTTGTACAACCTGTAGCGTGAAAATAAGCCCCGTGACTCATTCTTTTTTTTTTTTTTTTTTTAAAAGCATGATATAAACTACAGTTACTATAATTTAGACACCCCATCTACCTTAAGAATATTTATATCATACTACAGTATTTTAATTACTATAAATAAAACTTTACTTGATGCTAGTTGTTAATTGTATGGATGTTGATTAGTATACAGTTAACCTGTTTATCATTTTACTTTGTTTTTTATTTTGTCTTTGAGTTAAAAATGCTGAAGGGACTGTTGTTCAAGCTTACTAGACAAACAAGGCCTTACTTTACCCGCTATTCTTCAATAGAAAGTCCTTAGTACCAAGTTGTCATATTGCCATTTTTTACTTGTTTCACTAGCTGAAGAATTAAGTGTTTACAGTTTCTTCTATAGAATTTTTACTTTAGATTTTAGAAAGTATTTTTGTACCACTTTGAGATCTCAGTACATTTGTTATCACCCTTTGTCTGCGAACTTCTTGCTGGTGACTCAACAATTCACAAAAACACTACATAGGCGATCGATGTTACAGCCTTCTGACAAAAAGCGAAAAATTCCGTCGAAAGCAAAAAAGTTGTTTCTATGTTGACTTTAATTGCCTGACCACTACGAACAGTTGAAAAATACAGAGAAGATACTAAAGTGACAACAAAAACCAAAAGTCGGCGAAAAACACCAAAAAGGAAAACGTTGAAACGGGCAAGTGACAACAACCCACAAAACGCAACATATATTAAACTAAAGACGGAACAACACGAATGTCATCATAACCCAGAAATGAGCTCTGGTGCTATGGAAGAGTTAGCAGTTCCTGTTCAGCAGCTGACAACCGCCGTGTTACTCAAATTAAAGTATGTCATTAAGATTGGAGTAACAAATATTTGATATTTATATAGGTCTTTTAAATTCGTATAACTTGTTGAATAGTTTTATGTGTTTCGTCAAGTTTGCTTCAGTGACATTTTAAAGCAAACTGCGTTTTGTATTTGAACTGCACGAGTCTATAAAATGACAGAAAATTTTAACGTCTTATAAAAAATAGATTTCTTTTCGACACACTACTTTCTATAAACATAATATGCGTTATATATTAAAGTTGCGTGTATGTTTCAATTCGACACCTACGTCGTGAGCTGCCAAACACTGATTGACCGAAGATCTTATGAAAGGCACAAGGTCATGTCATCACTAAAACATCTGTATTTAGATTAGATTAGCATATTAAGTACCAGGTACAACATTCTGACATAACTAAGAGTCTTTTATATTTGAAGTAATTTCAAACATTATAAAAGTCAGTGTTGACTTGTAATGACGATTGATTGGTTTGTTTTAATTGTCAATTGAAAGTTGGTATGTATGGATACATTTTGATATAGTCAAATGGAGAAGAACAATAGCCGAATGGAAATGATAGGGCATTTTGTTGGACTTGTTGAATTCCACCAAAAAAATTAATATGAATCTAACGAACTTGAGACCGCAAATTGTCAATAGAGCGCAATATGTCTGTCGAGTTCTGATAGGAAAACATACTGCAAAGGCTGAGATGACAACCCAACAACACCCCCTCCAAAAGGCTTTCTTTTGAGCTTTAAATATATGTTCAATTTCAGAACAGAAGGATATATGGAACTGATTAAGAACATTGCTATTCATTGATTAATGAATTAATCTGCAAATTCGTTTAAAATATTTGCGAATTCGTAATGCACCTTTTAATTTTGCTAATCTGACGTGCATTGTTTAGTTATTGTTTATCTACTAAACTGTCTTTATGTTAATTTGATGTTCTCTTTATAAAATGAGTGGTATTTATTTGTACAAAAACTGTATTACTTTAGTGCTGTCTATAAATTAATTGGTGCTAATTAAAACTTGCAAATCTCATTTGGAATTAAAAATTATCTCACTTGTTTCGTTAAGCTTGCTATGTTTTCTTTTTGTCATTCTCGGTTGTTTCAGTTCTTGAAAGTTTGGCTTAGTTTCGTATTTGTAATATAAAAATAAGAAGATGTGGTATGATTGCCAATGAGACCACTTTCCACCGGAGACCAAATGACGTAGAAGTTAGCTACTATAGATGGAAGTACGGCGTTCAACAATGAGCAAAACCCATACCGCATAGCAATCTATAAAAAGTCCCGACATGACAAATTTAAAAGAATTCAAACGAGAAAACTTACGGCCTGAGTAATGTACAAAACAATAAACGAAAAACAAATATGATATACAGCAACAATTGACAACCTCTAAATTACAGCACCCTGACTTGGTACAGCAAGTTCGTTTTTACCTCGAACATCACTAAACAGAGATGTTTTATTTATGAAAATGCAAATCAAATGTATCAAAATTATTGCTGTTACCACGATTACGAGAAGATAGATACCTATAGATAAAATAGAATTACACTCGTCGTTGGTTTGTTGACTCATCATTAGCAACAATACATGTGCCATCAGAATCTGCTTACCCTTCTGCAGCACATCATCAAGATTTATTGGGGCCATAAGTGTACATATCTCTTTAGGTTTTTATATAATGTTTTATAGACGAGTATGCATTTTTTTTAATCTTTTTTGAGTCATGGTGTTGTTAGTTGGACCAATGCTATTTTATTTTCTATTGTCGTTTAACTTGCTTGGTATATCCTTGTCCTTGTTTTATTACAAAGCATTTGTGCGTTTCAAAATCGGACTACTAAAACATGGTATAAATTTGTAATATAAACTCAACTTAAACAACAAACTTTGGTTCAAATTATGAATTCGCAGTTATCAATCTTAAGTCAACGAATAAACTTTTACGCGGTTCAATGGATATCTTAATCAACCAATACAGGACCGATAACTATGTAAACAGGGTTAAATAGGTTATGATGTTTATAATGCAAAAAAGATACACAGTTTAAATGGTTGAGAAATTTTGAATGCGGTGTTTTAAAATTGTATAATTATATGCTTTGTACGATTCAATATTATCTAAACCATTTGTGTCCGTCTTTATTGTTATCAATTTATTCATATCTTGGAGTTTAAAATTCTTGCATTTGTTTATATTGTGCATTAGATGTTTTTATAACATACTAATTCTTTCCTCTCTAGTACACCATTTTAGTCATGTCTGGCTTAATCATATTTACAAGAGATGATTGTTTGTACAACATATTAAGTACATAATTTTTTCGAATCATCATACCAAATATCTGAAAGCACCCGTATTTTGGACGTTGATATTACTCACACTGGCCTCTTATAGTGTTGTCAATTCCTAAAATATTGACTAGTCTTTATCTTGCATCAGCCTTAATACTTTCAAATTAAGATGCCTTTGAACACAGTCACTCTTGAATTTTCTAAACTCTACTGTAGGTAACAAAATTGTGCTTTCTCAAATAGTTGAAATATATGTGAAAAAAAAACCCATACACTGTTTATCATATTTGTTTTTCGTTCATTGTTTTGTACATAATCAGGCCGTTAGTTTTCTCGTTTTAATTGTTTTACATTCGTCATTTTGGAGCCCTTTATAGCTGACTATGCGTATGGTTTTGTTCATTGCTGAAGGCATTACGGTGACCTTTAGTTGTTGACTTCTTTGTCATTTGGTATCTGTTGGAGTGTTGTCTCATTTGCAAACATACCACATCTTCTAATTTTTATATAGTTGAGTCTCGTTGTCTTGGAACTCATTTGATTGGAACTTTTGGACAAGTCGAAACTTTCCCATAGTCCCGTGTTGCGTTTGTTTTTGGTTCATTAAATGTCTTCTCAAGTGGAATTGGATTAATGAATAAAGATTGAGATTTGTGCATAATGTTTGCTCTATAGGAAAACATGCTTTTAGGAATAAAATGTAAAACAACCAAATGTCACATTTTCATATATCACATTTATTGCTATTTATTCTCAACAATACTGAACTTCAAACACATTAAATTAGTTACACATATAAATTTATATATTTCAAAAGCACCATTTGAAAACAATGTTTTTCATCACAAATATAAGTTAAATTCAAGTGCATGCCATGAATCTTTGGGCTAACATGCAGCATTTCAAGACTCGCAGTGATTGAAAGCTTGCCTACAGTACTTTATTATCACATCACAATACATAATGTCAAAAATCTAAAGCTGCCTTGTATCAGTAAGTCGAATAGATCAATTTCAAGAAAGTTAATCTACCGTCAATAAGACAACTTTGGCTTTAAGGTGTATTTTCCCTTCAGCAATGCTCTGACCATGCCATATATAGGATAATCTAGCATGGTATACATTGGTTGCTCGTACTGTTTGTTTAGACTTATTGTTACTTATTCAATACAGGATGAAACCAGCATCCAAGAATGAAACAACGAAAGTCTTGGACCGTGGTCGATCTATACGATTGTCGCAAGTGGAGACCTAAATGTTAAGATTTTGAAGTCTCAAACATGTCCCGATTTTGATAGATAAGGATGGTAGCGGTACATGTGACTTGAATGAAGACTAGATGGCGGCGATGACTGTAAAGAGTTTCTGATTATATTGCTTCTTAATATTGCTTCGTGTTCACTTGTCATTGGTTGGCCGTTTATCAATACACTGTTATAACTGGGTATCATTCTAGAATCCAATGAATGAAGAGGTAGACCTGGTAGCATGGGACTTGATGTTGGCATCATTCCAAATGGGAAAATACCATCTGAAATAGAAAGTGATTCATGAGTGACTATGCGAATTACAATTCCTATTGAAGCATTTTTAAATAATGATTTTTATTTTGGCATATCATTACAATATTCAACAAATTATAGGCTTTCCTTATCATTCAAACTAGCTGTCACAATGATTGAACTGAAACAAATATATGGAACACTTATAAATAAACAACATCTTTTGATGTCTATTTTGAACTTAGAAAGATAGATTTAGATAAGTTACCTCTTGATAAAAATGTGTCTCTATACTTCAAACTTTCTTCGTCAATTGGAAAAGGAAAAGGTACTCTCGGAAATCCATGCTTGTTCAACAGATTTTCCATTGTTTCCCTGCAAAATAAAGCTAAATATAAGTGACTGTCTTTAGGTTAGTTACCTTAATTATCGTAGGAAATGTTTTGTTGGATACCTGCCCCATTGACGTATACCCTATACATATATATCAATTTATTCATTCCTAAACTAAAATAAACAACAACAAAAAAACAAAAACAAAAAAGAAAAAGAAAAATAAACTACGTCAAAGAGTTATAGATACTTTCAGCTATGAAGAAAAAGATCTAAACAATTGTTTGTACTCAGAGTTGGTTTATTCCTCATTAAAGAAACTAATGTTTTCACCATTAATGTTTGTTTGTTTTCCGTCTCATACGATTTATTTAGATAACTATACAACAAATTTATTTATTCTTTTATATTATGTTATTTACCTTTCAATATCGCTGAGTCTACTCGAATCTCTAAATCCTTTGGCAAATGGATTACTCTCAATTTTAAGCTTAGTTATCTGAAAGAAAATCAATCGTGAGTAAATTCTATTGTGCTATCGTTTGCCAAAGGGTAGGAAATGATTTCGACCACACAAATTTTTGACATCAATATGGCATACGTGGTTATCACAGACCCGCAACAAATTACTACTAGACTGGGTGTCGAATGTGTTTTACTGACCCTGAAAAAAGCAGGGCACTATCGTCTTTCAGGCTTATAGTGATTAAGTTATAATAAGATTCTTATCACCGAATCAAAGCAACAAAAACGTTTTAACAAAATGAAGGGATATATTTACTTCCTTTAGTTTGGCAGTTAGCAGACGTTTGAAACATAAGATGACGTCAGGTTTCGGATGTCTCGTCATTTCTTTAACTCTCGCGTGTTTTTTGTTGTAATTGCGTGATTAAGTGATTTCATTTGTATTATTTACTGTCAGAAATTCACCTCTGTACCATTGTGGTTGATTTACTTGGCAGTAAACAGATACTCTATATCACTAAATTCAGACCCAGGCAGCGGAAGAGATAAAGAACAACAAAATCACAAGTTCAATAAACACTATATTGTCTATTTTCAAAACTCTAAATAATGGAAAACAGATTTAATAAGAAATACGATAACTTTTATGTGAAAGTGCAAGATCATTTTGTAAGCATGACATGTTTACGAATTTGTCACATTCTGCATATGAAAGTTAGTGTTAAAAGTATTGTCAACTTACCAGCTGGTTTTGATAGGCTGTTACCCCAATGAAGACAGTTTCAGGGAAAACAAACGTCCTATACTCTTCATTTTCAAGATCAGTAACAGAACTTTTGTCATCTTGTTGGCGTTTTACTATATGAAGGCGTGGTTGGTATTTGTGCATTGAATTCAAGATAATCTGAAACACAGAAAGTTAGAATTTTATGAGATGAAACTTCACAGTTCAATGGATATTGTTGAACAAAAAGCAATGCATTTATATAAAACAGTGTATTACTCCGAGATACCAGTGAACAAACTTGTTCTATTATCATTATTACAATATCACTATAAATAAATAAAAAAAAAACATGAAATTACCTGTCCATTTTTATCCATCAGATTGTTTGTGAGCTTTAGCTTCTCAAACGATATTGTTTGTTTCTGCAACTGAAGACCGGAAAAGGGTCCATCAGGATGGGAACAGAGCCTTGTGGGTAAGGGTGGGTCAGCTTTTCCCGCGACTAACCAAGATGATCTGTGGTAAGCATATCTGTATCTTTTGTTGTCTATTGGTACGATATCTAACAGTATGACGTAGCTAGCATCTGCTTCTAAACCAGAGAATGATGCTCTTACGGTTGGAAACATACGTCTACAAAGAAAGAAAAATTGTAATTTAGAAGTTTTAATCACAATCAATAGCAAAAATAAAAAAAGAACAATGTTGGCTTTAATTCAGTTAAGAACTGTTCATTAAAATGGAAATCAAAATCTAGAAATAAGCAAAAATCTTGTAACAATGTGTTCATTTTGTTTTGGAATTTCAGTTAACATTCCCTGACATTTGCAGGCGTGTTGTGGTGAACTGGTGTTTATTTGTTGAGAGACATTAATGAGCTTGTAAAAATTAAAATCCTCTATTAGAACCATATTAGATTATAATCATAAACACCAAACTGTCACTTATTCCGTGCCTTTTCCAGTTCTAATGATTTTCATCACGCTTGAAATAATAAAATATGACCTTATGTGGGCAAAAGTCAACAACGGCTCTGTTGCTTTCAACCTTATCAATAGACCAGCAACATGTATCTTATTGCTGTTTTGCGTGTCCCACCTCATTTCTATTCTGTGGTAATTCGTAAATTATGGGTTTTAGTTATTTCCCGTCTTTTCAGTAGTAAAGGGACTCAGATTAACCTTGTTTCACGTTTCAGTGTTTTGAGATATAGAAACAGATTACACGCTACACTTACAATATAAATTTGAAGTTTACACCACAAGTAATAGTTTTTGTTTAGTAAAACTGTATCGTATGTCAGCGAATGGGGTCATTTTACCATTTTGCATTCAGTGGTGAAATATTGAACTTTAAGATAATAAGTTTAACTTTTCCTCATTTGGACAGGTGGTAGGATAGTATAAAAACACCAATGTAGGTGAAATTGTATCACTTATTTTAATCTATTTCTTTCTACTAGTGATAAGTACTTTATTTTTGATTAATCTATTATTTGACTAATTTGTCATAAGTATTTTAATACTGCGATTTTCTGAAAACATTACTTGGTGACTAATTTGCACTAGCATCTTGGATGAAAAATGTATCATTTATATACCCATGTCCAGTCATGGCTCATTTTCAGTACAAAAAATATGGGCATATACACAAGGATTGTTGTTAAATGGATTGTTGAATTAATTGCAGCTGTGATTAAAGTCTTGATGCACATATGATAAAACTCCTTTAAAAATATAAACACAAACAGTAAAAGTTTCTTCCTCGAGTCATATTGACAATTGCATAATTAACCTATTTGGTCAATATTTTATTCTATGTTAATTTCATGTCAATTGCTGTTAAGCCTTTTTGTGAATAATGAATATACAAATCGTTGTCTCTCTACTCATTGAGAAAATATGTACCCGTTAAGTTTTGTTGCCCATTAACTTGATCCTCACACAATAGATTATCCCTCGGGGGAATGAGTAGGCACCAAGTGGTGAAGCTGAAGTCTATCGGACGAAAGGTAAGGGGTGGGAACCTCTCAGTCCATTAACACATTTAATCATCGTTTAATTCTCTTCTTTAATCAAGTTTCAATGTAAGTTTCGGGCTATTAAGAAATCGGAAAGTAAATAAGGCGTCTGGTAGACCATAAATGTAATTTTTATCATGTTACGGATTAAATAAGGAAATGGCTAATAATTTGATATAAATCATTAATAGTAAATGTTTCTCACGGTCAAGACGGTTCCATCTCAAACTGATTTAGCAACATCAAAGTTGGCATACCTTTCAGAAATACCTGAACTTCTAAAGGTGAAGCTAATTGAATAGGTATTGGTTTGAACGGTGATGACTAATTTTAATTCAAAGTGTTAACGGGTTCTAATCTTTTTAAGGTATTGTTCTTGTGGTTGATATTCATCAGTTTAATCAGAAATTCTACAGGAAATCATCTGACTTGAACAAGTGTTGAAGTGACACATTAAAAAGATAATATCTGCAATTAATTGATCTCATTATACCGTTATTTTTTCTATTTTTTTTTTATAAAAAATATAATTTCTGTCGAAAAAAATACAGCTCTGCAAATGCTCATATTTTTGGGGGATAGAATAAACGTTTCTTAACGTTTAAATGTAAATTTAATGTCTTTGAACTTCGAAACAAATATGTTCAAATAAATAATAAGAAAGATAAAATCTTTGAAGAATAAAAAATTTACCGATATCACAAGTGCGAAATCTTGCCAATCGTTAAATGCGTAAAAATCATCAACACCCTATTGTAAAATTAATTGTGAAGTTTGGCATGAAATAAAAGAATTAAATAATTGTGAAGATTTTACCGACAAAATCATTGTTTCCTAAAGAGGGTCAAATTTTAGAGATGATAGCTAAACAATCATGTGCTGAAATAAAATGATATAAACTTAGTAGGTCTTAATTAATGATCTATTAGCGTTGATAGCTGTAGTCAGCGATGAATTGTTTAAAATGTTTAATTGTGAACAGAAAAGATATAAATTTATTGAACCTGGTGTGGTACGTTTAAGAAGAATGGAATATATTGATATTATCCTAACTATTTTAATAAATATCTGCCAAGTTTTTATTTTTGTCATATGAAAAAAGATTATTTAGTACGTTTTATTTTGGTTACTAAATTTCTATTCAATTCTTGATACTATTTTTTCAAAAATTACTTTATTCCTTTATTTGTTTATTAAAGTTTAAACTGAAATTTTTATGAATTGAAATACATTACGTTTAAATTTAATATGTATTATGATTTATGTAATTTTTTAATTTGCATTTATTAAACTTACAATATTTAGCACCATCAACACAAATTCAGAAAATATCAAGCCAATCTTATAAATAATCTTTTTATTATACATTAAGAAGGGAAAAATTATTTTTTCTGCTGCTGAGACTATTCAATTTTTACAAGCCGTCTAACATCTACAGAATTATTCAACGAATTCACTTTTCGTGAATATGATTTTAAATAGAGGTTTACCTTCCAGTTTTGGTGATGATCATTTCTGTTCCAATGTCGTTGAATTTATCCCAAAGATCTTTAGTTTCCAGACGACATTTTACATTCGGCAGACTACCGGTGTAGGGTTCTGGTGACAACGGCGGAGTGGTACTTGCGCGTGCTTTATAATCTGAACTGGAATCGTCTGATATGATACTCTCTGAAAAACAATGTTAAAAAGTTCTGTTGTAATATATTTTCATTTTCTTCGTAAATTTCTGATATTATTGGCAAAAATTAAAAAATTTCTTTTGTGCTGTATATACAACAAACTATATTTATTTAGTTTATTAATAAATTAATTAATTTATTAAGTCATTTATTTATTAGCAAAAAGACGATTACTGAAAATTACCAAAACGTTTGCAAAGATAATTTTTGCTTGTTAGGACGGACAATTGTTTTTGTTTTTATTCTATTAGTATTAAATTATTATGGTGGACATCGATTAAGATTGATAAGTTTTCTATATATAATTTCTAATGAAAAGGTCATTCTAAAATTACAAAAATTACACAAATAAATAAATATGTATACAAATCTGAAATAGTCCTAAAACTCAGAATCATACAAGAAAAATATTCTTAAAATAAACACGAGAAAGTCGGTTAAAACACATTAAAGTAAACCCGCACAGTGAACATATACCTAAAAAAAATCAGTAAAAAAAGACGTAATATCTATAGGTCCAAGAAAAGATAAAGGAAAATATTAACTTACTAGGTGGACTATCTGCATGAGGCGGTGTGGCGGGAAGCTCGTGATCTCTGGTTGTATGTGCCTCAACAATTTCACTGTCTTTAACACTTCTTTGACCAAGAATTGAATCTATAGAGAATGCATTTGCTTTTGGAGACAAATATTGTTTCTGAAGTTCTGTTCTGCAAATTTCAGTTTGAGTCTCGTCACGAATTCTTGGCGATAAATCCATTTCTATTATTATTATAAAGTAACAACAAACTCGCTAAATAAGCCGTGAATGTTCAAATACACAATGCTGTAAATTTGTTTATCCAGTTTAATGTTTCAACTTCAACAATGTCAACAAATTATGCTTAAATGAAACCATCAAACTTAATTTATCCAAAATTCATAGAAGGAATAGAGTATTAGTTGTAAGACTTGATTTGATTGGTCGCTTTCGATATTGAATAGAATCGTTGAGATTGTTCCACCTTAAGGCGGAGATGAAATCAATAGCCACGTGTATAACTTGCTAATTTAATTGGTTCTGTTTCTTACAAACAAATTTAGGCACATTTCATGAATAAGAAATGTCACACACGAACTAAAATTCGTTTCATCTTTGGTGGCCGAAAAGTTGCAAATTCGCTCATTGGACATTTTCCCGTATAAACAATACTTGTGCCATTTTGACACACAACTTTGCCATTCCATTTATTTACTGATAGCATATGAAATATATTGTTATTTATGAATAGAGTTTCAAGTTTCTTAGTGACTCACATATTAAAACGGTTTTATAATTGTTCTGCAGATAAATACATGCTGTCATGCATATTTAGCAATAAAAAGAATGTTTAATAAAGCATATTGTTAACTCCGTCATGATCAGAGAAAGGATGATACAAAATAAATTATAAGGCAACTGTTTATTAAAATTTAAATCAAAATAAAATTAATATAAGTAAACTGAACAATTGTTTGAGTTATCTTTCTGGTCATAATTCATTTGTTCAGTATATAAAGTTATTTTAGGTAAAACTCTGTAATATTATTTTTGTAATTTTCAAAGTGCTATCGAGTCATCGAAAAAGTGTTGGAAGGGATTTGACGAACACTATTGTCACCTACTGTTGCAGCTAAGCTTCCGAATTTTCCAGCAATGCTACATGTGAATTATGTACCGGTCAATTGTCCAAAACATTTTCAATCTCAAATATTTGCAAATAGATAAACAAACGAATACAAAGATATCTAACACAAAAACCATGCCTCATTTTACTATGATCCAAAATAAATTTAACTATACAATTTGTTTTCTAATCAAATGTTCAATTATATTTTTATCTCTGTAATTATCATTAAACTGAGACTGATTACTACATTGAAATAAAAAAATAAAGTTTTATTACAAAATAGATTTGTTATAAGTAAATACTATAAGTATATATTGAATACAAAAATTAATTTAATTCTCTCTTCAATGTCATAAACATGTTTATTATGAATAAAATGTTACAGATCTTGTAAAAGATACTCGTGTGGTCACTTGCTTTATTACAAGATCATCCAGAGATAGAGAGATTAATATCTGCCTGACACTTGTAGGTGTCATAAAATAGTATACTAACAAGAATATTTACTAATAACATTGCTTTTTGTGTAAGTAAATAAATAAATATTTATATAATTAAATAATGGAGAAAATAAAAATCAATGAATAAATAAATAAATAAATAAGTAGATTAATTAATAAAAAGATACACTATGTGGTATGGGTTTTGCTCATTGTTGAAGGCTGTACGGTGACCTAAAGTTGTGAACTTCTACGTCATTTGGTCTCTGGTGGAGAGTTTTCTAGTTGGCAATCATACCACATCTTATTTTTATATAGCCCTTTTTCATATATTCACCGAAGTCCTTTTTTATCGACATGAGAAGCTTCTTTATTTTCATATTATTGCAAGTTATCCGATTCAGAAACTGATTTCCCTCAAAAACAATGTTGAGTACTTCACGTATTGTCATTGAAATAAATAAAACTCTTTGGAAGATTAATAATTAAGATAAGATAAGTAAACAAACAGAAAAGTGTTCAAGAAACAAAGTTTGAGAACATTCCCAAATGTGTTATTAACATCAATCAACGGAATTGATTTAATTTCTGAGTATTGCATGGGACTATTGGAGACTTATTTTGTACCACTTTATAGTTTTTTTTCCATCTTTGTTTTCATCAATATTTCTAAACTGTATATATTAGTTGAAGGAATTACTCTTGCAATGGGGTGAAATGCACAAATGAATCGGTTTTGCAAACTTCGAAAAAATGTTTCAAAGATTATAGCTAAACAACTTAACATTTAATGTGCAGTCATAATTATTTTTTTGTTAATACACATGGGTATTATAATAAAAATATTAATTGATGATAATCCGGATACTTTGAAAACAAAACTAGTATCAAAAATAGAATGTCGGTAAAACCACAACATTTAAAGCAAATTATCCTTTCAGAAATTACAGATAGAACTGTCATATTTGACACAGTTTCAAATTTAATTGAGTGCTTGTTGAAAATACAAGTTCTACCAGATTTTAGAAAATGTCACACGAAAACATGATGTTTTCTCGCTGATGAGCTTCTTATCCCTCCAAGGAACTTGAGATTTTACAAGATTTATCAACTGATAGATATCACTTAACAATTTACTTTTTACACTTGTTGATCGAATCAAACACACCTTTAGGCTGCTTCGCTATCCAAATAGTATTTTGTTGATGAGGTAACATTGTGTGAATTTTAAACAATGTTTTTCTTTTTAATTTTCAAATTCAGCTGATGGGTTGTTAAAAAGAGGAGTGACGATTGAAAATTAACTATTAAAAGTAAAGTCTTTATTCCCATAATAGAGTCTTTTGAGGTAAATAAATTCCTAAAGTATTTAGATAAAAATCTAAATAGTGGTCATTTCCTGCCAAATTAATCACTTTTGGTCCAAATGATTTTTACAATGAAAGCTCACTGGACAAATAATTAGAAGTATATCTATGCTTCAGGAGACCGATTCGTTTCCTTAAAAATTGAAAAAGTACATGTTTGTCTCAGTAATTTGTATGGTTTCCTGTCGTTGAAGCTTTGATGTTTGGGGAAAGGTTATTTCAGACTACAAAAAAGGAAAATTTCGTGAAATATAAAAGATGTACTATTCAGTTTTTAATTTTATTTTTTCATCGCCCGTTTGATGATGAAACTCAATTAATCGGAGAAAATAAGCAATTAGAACGCTTAAACGCGTTAAATAACGATAAAATTATTTTTTTCTAACAACTATGGGAAAAATGAATTTTATACAGTCACATTGAATGTGTATTAGAGTATCTGGTAGCTTTGAAGGAAACAAATACACAGTTTTACAATAATCATGTTGTTTTAATGGTGTTTGTAGCACACCTGCTAAAATTTCTTCAAAGAAATGGTAAATCTGAATACCTATAAAATGACGTGTGGATAGATAAGATCACGACCGCTAACTTGTTGCTTTGCTGTTAGATGACATCGAGTTAAAACGACAAACACCTGTGTAATTGCACCTGTAATTAAAAGTCTCTTAATGATTCAACCGTTTAGGAATATCTTGTTTTGAAATCAGAAACTGATTTAAATTGACATGGAATTTCATTCGAAAAACAAATCAACTGACAAATATTTGTAAAGAATATATGACTCAATTTGAAATTAGAGAAAGAATGGGTTCTGCCTCTAAAAAGAATGATTAGTCGTTATCAGATTAATTAAACCGGACGATAAAGTAACTAACTATTTGTTTAAACCAAATTATCCCCCATTCCACAGAGAGAGAGAGAGAGAGAGAGAGAGAGAGAGAGAGAGAGAGAGAGAGAGAGAGAGAGAGAGAGAGAGAGAGAGAAGAGAGAGAGAGAGAGAGAGAGAGAGAGAGAGTAGCATTACGTTGTGATCGCAAACTTAATGTCAAATAAATTATAGATCTCTGATCTTGCTAAGATCATTCGACGAGTAAGCGAGTTACGGTAGATCAGACAGAATTTTAATTAGAGTGGGTCCACTTGTCATCAGAATATCGTATGCCCAGTAGGATTGAATGGTTTCATGTGGACTGTCATCTTGTCGATTAGAAAATAATATTCAGTGTGCTTAGTACGAAGCAGAGAATTATCTTTATGAGATCATAAATGAGACGTCCTAAATATGCACGTACTATTTGCCACTGGACGTTATGCATCTAGTTAATCTATCAATCAATCATACTGATAAAGTATGCCATATGACACTTCTTATTGCGTATGGTGTAGTTTGCTATCACTCTCTCTTTCTCTCTTTCTCTCGCTCTCAAACACACACACACACACAAAAGTCATATAGTATAGTTGGTGGTGACAATGATTAAGTTACTTTGTTCCGCTTCTATTTTTCATGTAGAAATGTATACGCACGGTCACGTGATACAAGTTCATGTCATCAAGTTCTTGTTTTATTACCACAACAAATTCCTGCATCAAATTAATGGTACTTTCTTAATAAATTTGTCAACAAAGAACGGTTACTACAGATAACTAATAGATTTTAATATACCAACTAATCTATTTCGCGTGAGCTTGCAGACGCCAAAGTTCATCCTTTGAATTTTTCTGTATTGTATGACAAATTGAAAAGACATTTACTTCTTGAGATGATGCATACGGAATGGAAAATCCTCTTATTGATATTTTACAGAACAAGACGAAACACTACTGTGAAGTATTTTTGTAGTATTAAATTATTTTTGACAAAAATCGTGTAAAATTTCCACGCTATCAGTAAAAAAATATAAATATGTAGTTGTAACATGTAAAAGGTTGAAGATGGGGCGATAAAATGGATTTAAGTACAGTTAATGCCAAGTTGCCTTTCAGTAAGGTTAATCAAACTTAATACCTCCGCATTGAAAGTAGCGCACTTCATTGAATCAGCGCAAAATAGTAGAATCACTATATTAATAGAGAACTTTCGTTGTTGAATGTTTTCAAAATTATGTGTTCTTTAATAAAATCTCATTAATTTTTGTTCTGCATATTCCTGTTAATGCTCTCTTTTGACTAGATTTGAAAGCAATACACCTATTTCATGCAATACACGCGGAATCTAGCATCACAAATAAGATTTCACAATTTGTGTATGTATTTATATAATAGAAAAACATATCTGGTAAAATACTTTACTAATATGCATTGCCATTATTCAAGAGTTAAGCTCGAATTGTATTTTCTAAGACTGTCAAGAAGTATTCCGACGATTAGTTTGATCGATATATCGAATGGTTTAAGTAAAAAGAGACAGAAGATGTACCAAGGGGAGGG